TTAAGAGAGAACTCGGGGATGTTTTGCTCTTAGATAGGTAAAGTAGTCAGTAATTCAGATCATCAAGATTTTTTCCTTTAAATTATGATGATTTTAACAATAGTCATAATCTAGGTAGTGGTAGTGCACACCTTTAATCCTAGCACTCGGGAGGCAGAGTGGATCTCTGTGAGTTTAAGACCAGCCTGGTCTACAGAAAGGGTGCCAGGACAGGCTCCAAAGCTACACAGAGAAACCCTGTCTTGAAAAAAACAAAACAAAATGATAATAATCGTAAAAGCCCCCAAATCTTTGGGCAATACTATAAAACACAGTAAAGGTGACCAAGAATGTTAATTGCATAACTTCCTTGGCAAGTAGTTTCCTTCAGTGAGAACAAAGGCTCTCTATATTTAGTTCCCACATAACTATACATTGTGGCCTCCCTTGTCCTTACTGAAGGGGGACATTAAGGCAGGAAGGCAAAGAAACTGGCATGAAGTCAGATCACAGGATACACATCGGAAGGACCCAGAAATCTGTTATTCCTTTTATGTCATTGGTCCAGGGATGACAGACATCCCAGCATAGTTACTGTAGGACTTTCCAAAGCCTGGATAACTGGCGTGGCCAGTCTTCAGCAACTGGTATGGCCAGTCGTCAGCTCTGCTGTTGGCTGATTGGAGGTAAGAGACTGGAATAAGGGTGAACGATGAAAAGAGGGGCAAGACTGGCTCAGGATCAGAACAGGAAAATGCAGTGCAAATCCTTTTGACTTCTGCCATGTCTGATTTGCCAAGAAATGGTACAGTGAGACCAGTAGGAGCCAAGGATAAAACCCAGCGGCAGGAGTGGGGGTGAAATATCAGGCTGGAATTGTCAGGCTAATGAATCATCCCTCCTCCTTGTTCTGTGAGTCACGTGTGCTGATGTGGCCCCTGTGTCATAGTCTTGTGCTACTTTTGTGATTTCTACTGGGAGTGTTCCATCCCTGTCTAACTGGCTTGTTTAATAACTGGTACCTCACTCACCACTCTTTCTGCTTTCCTTTATCCTTTGTCAAGTGCTCTTCATCTTGCTCCCAAACTTGGGGACTAGGGAGGTTGTAGTGTGAAATACAAGGCTTGTATGAGTCAAGCACAATGCTTCTGCATCCATCTGTCTGTCTACTTCTCTATCTACGTATCTATCAATGTATATATATATATATACATATATTTAGTAAGTGATATTTTGTTTTCTCATTCACTCATGAGTCAATGACCATGTGTTATTTTTACTGCTGATTAAGAACAAGACACACAGGTCTTAACGCATATCTTTTCATTTACATATTTATGAAATATTTGTTACAACAAATAGTTACATGCTTACTGTACACTGACATTGTTGTCAATATAAAGGAAAAAGGAAATGAAGGCAAAAGACGTTTTAGGCAATAACATGCAGGCATATACAACAAAGAGTGAATGGCATTTTAAAGTTTTACTTCTGTATTTGTTATGTGTAGCATGGGAGACAGGTGGGGGTCAGAGGACAACTTTCAGGAGTTGGTTTCTCCTTCTACCACGTGGGTCTCAAGAATCAAATTTAGGTTGTGAGGCCTAGCAACAAATGTCTTGGCCCCCTGAGCCACCTCCCAGGACCAAGGAGATGACCTTTGAAGTAAACTGTCTCATGGGTTTGGCAGTATCCAGCGAGGGAGTTGGGAATGGAGAGGTCATTCCAAGAAGGGGGAGCAGTGGGAGCATAGGTGGGAATTCTTGGTGACCTTACACATTTGAGGAATTTCAAGCAGTTTAGTTTGTCTAAGAGCAGAGAGAAGAGGAAACAAAAACAACTAAATGATCATGGAGAAAAGACAGCTATAAAAGCTGGCCTCAGACTACAATGTGTGGAAGTGTTGCAGGTATCATTAAAAGAAGAAGACAATCTTAATTCTCGCCACTGTTGAGGCACACTCATGTAGCCCAGAATATGATGCTTCATTCAGGTTAGTATTTAGTCAGTGCCTCAAATGAGCATATTGGAGCTCTCCCTCCCTCCCTCCCTCTCTCCCTCTCCCTCCCTCCCTCCGTCTCCCTCCCTCCCTCCCTCTCCCTCTCCTCCCTCTCCTTCTCTAGCCCCTTTTCTCATACTCTTCTACTCGACTATTTGCATGTTTCTACTCTGAGAGCTAATTCCATTTGATGACTCTGCAAGATCAAGCTCGAGAGCAATGGTCTTGACATTGGTTTCTTCCAGTCCTCCCCAGCTGTGAACAGAGCAGGTGAAATTGCAACCTATGTTCCAGTGGTAGAGCCATGATTGAAAGGTTCATGGAGAGAAGCTGGGTTTGGTACCATGTGGTACCATCAGAGTACCTGAAGAGAGCCCGAGAGAGGCTGTTGGTGACGGTGTAGCCCAGGTACAGTGGAGACATCGGTATATTAGAGATGCCAGGACTGTGGGGTGACCACAAAGCCACTGTGGAGTGCAGCTGGCCCGAGCATAGGGGACATGCTGTGGGCTCTGTGGAGGGCAAAGCCAGAGAAGTCGGGCTGCCCAGGCCTGTGGGAGCCAGAAGAGTGTGAGCGCATCCCAGACGCCTAAAACTGAACTTTTTACACTGTTAGACTTTGTTGAGATTATGCCCCGACTCTTCCCTCTTGGAAGACGAAAGTGTGAAACTTGTTGTAATTTTATAAGGGCCCATACTAAGAGACTTTGAATTTTTCAAGAGACTTTGGATATTTTAAAAAGATTAAACTTTCAGCGTGTTTGAATTTTAAAGACGGTGGGATTTAAAAGTTACAATTTTTTTAAAAATGTGATATTGATATTAATATAAGATCCTGTGGATAGACAAGAAAGTATATGCTCTTGTTTAATAGTTTTGTATTGTATTGTAATAGCGTATCAGGTTTTGGTTCACTTGACACAAGCAGGGTAATCATGGAAGAGGGAATTTGAACTGAGAAAATGCCTCTGTTAGACTAGCCACGGGCAAATCTGTGGGGGCATTTTCCTGACTAATGATTGATATGGGAGTGCACCCTTGGGTAGGTGGTCCTGGGTTGTTTAAGAAGTAAGTTGAAGAAGCCATAGGAAGCAAGTCCCATGGCTTCTGTTTCAGTTCCCAGGTCCAGGTTCCTGCTTTGAGTTCTACTCTCCATGTCATCCACGTCACCACTTTTAACCCAGTCACTATGCCTCACTGTAGCATGAATAATAAAAACCTAGATACAGATATTGAGGTTCAAGCTGAAGTTCAGAAAAGCAAAGCAGCCGGCATTTACCTCTACTGAGGCTGAAATGGAGATCCTATCTTACCTGTGCCTGGAAACTGAATCTCACATGAGACCCTTTGCTTCTCTTTATATACCTCTCTAGTGCTGGGATTAAAGGTGTGAGCTCTGTTACTCTTTTAGACTTTTTCACTCTCGTGCAGCTCAGGGTGGCCTTGGACCGAGATCCATCTGCCTCTATCTCCTGAGTCCTGGGATTAAAGTTGTGTGTCACCACTGCCCAGCTTTTATGGCTTGTGGCTAGCTTTGAATTCTGATCCCTAGTCAAGCTTTATTAAATCATAAACAATATATCACCACACCTCATTCCTGCTGTTCTTAGACTTTCTTATTTGGCCTATTGCTTTAGCCCACGTTTCCTGGCTGGTTGCTTTGATAAAGGCAGAATGGATTTGGACTCCTTCCTTTGATTCTGTTATCCTGTGAGAATTCCACATTTATATCTGCAGTTAAGTTTTATGCAATAGACATGTCTGGGGAAAGGTCTTTTGTTCTTCTTGTATTCATGTCTAGGACACAGAGGGTAGAAGAATAATTGCTTTCTCTTGTGTGGTTAAGGAGTAGGAATCATTGTCCACTCTACACACCAGTGAGACACAAGGCCTCCCCTGTCCCACACTTTCTAAGACACCCTTCAGCCTAACCAGTGGGAAAGTCCTTGCTTTTCCTTCTCAGGGAAAGACTCACACAAGCACTAGGACTTTCTTGGCTTCCAAACCTTTATATGGAAGTTCCTGTAACAAAAAAGCAACCATTGACACTGATGAATATATTTTTTAATCTGTCCCATTGAATAGGGGCTCCTGGGAACTGAGAGCTTGTCTTAACCTCTGTGCTTATCAGTAGTCAAATTTAAAATTCTATAACTTTGAATGTTTGCTTATGGGGGGGAAGTTATTGCAGAAATGGCTAACTGAACTGCCAGAGCTTTAGTTATATTTGTTGCCTTGATTGTTTAATATTTTGTGCTTAAAATAAGTGACACTTTACTGAAGTGATAAATCTATTACTCCTTGCTCTTACTGTAACTGTGTAGTCTTTTTCCAGTATTGGAGACTACTTTACATCTTTATATATTAAAGACCCTCAAGATGAGTTGACTCATCTCATAAATAAGTGAACCCATTTCACATAGTTCAAGAACCACTAAACAAAGTTCTGTAGTAATCATACCATTCCTTCATGTTATAATTTGGTAAGTTAAAAAATTGAGATTAATTCTGACTAGATTTAAATCCCATTTTACTTTATTAATTTTTTTGGTTTCTTTTTTATATTTGCTTTAGCAGATTTAGAAATAACAGGACAGAAATTTTCATGCTCTATAACCCTAATTCATAGGATATAGAACAGGTCATTGACTATAATCACCAGGATTTTTTTACTTTGTGTCATGTCTATAGATAATCAACAGAGATTTTATTGTCTTCTTGGTTAAGCTGAATCAACCCTTTAATATTTCACTTTGGTCAGCATGCCTGCGATATTTCATTGCAAAATGTTAATATTGTCTGCCACTAAATTAAAATGGCAAAAAAGAAAATTACACAGTTAAAGAGGTTGAAAAATGTCTACTATGCTTTCATTATAGTCGATAATACTAACCTTCAAATGAACTGAAATTCAAAGTGAGTTTGAAGAGGGGTAAAACAAAACAAAGAGGCTTCCTATCTTTCTACTACTTAATTAAAGTAAGACCTTGTATTTAATACCTGCTCTTTATTTTGTTCCTAGAAATGAGAAGTAAAAGTAATGATACAGCTGTTGCTGCAGGAATTGCTTCTGGTGAGTGTAACTTTTTGTCCATTGGTGTTAACTCCCTGGTATCATGTGCTGAGAAGTGTTCTGAAGCTATGCTTGTGTCCAGGAGTAGAATGAAGAGTATTTAATGACTGTGTGGCTGTGGGGATGGCAGCTTACATATGTGTATATTGTCACTCTAATGGTGGTTATTAAACATAGTGTTGGAAACCAGTTTTCAAGACCACAGGGGTTCTAGTGTGAATTCTAGTGCAATACTACATCATGAAATAATATTATTAACCATCCTATTTACTGTTTTTTTTGTGTGGTATTTTGAGACAGGGTTTCTCTGTATTGTTTTGGAGGCTATCCTGGCACTTGCTCTGTAGACCAGGCTGGCCTCAAACTCACAGAGATCCACCTGCCTCTGCCTCCCGAGTGCTGGGATTAAAGGCGTGCGCCACCACCGCCCGGCCCATCCTTCTTAAGTGTACAATTTTTCTTATAGAAACAAAGAACTAGGATGTCAAATGGCTTGAGTGACAGCCAGCTATCAATCAGCAAAGCTGGGATTTCAACCCAAATGGGACTGACTTCAGAAAGTATGCTCTTTTCTTGGCAGAGAAGTCATTTTTGTCATTTATTTGATACAGGGTCTTGCTGAATAGCCCAAGATGGCCTCATACTGACATTCTCTCTTCCTTAGTCTTGAGTGGATTATAGGCATATACTTGGATTCATGAAGGAACTATTTTTTAGTTTCCATTACTAGGAAAATTTCGTGGGTATATTAGGGACTTTCCCAACTTGGAAGACTAGGCTACTTTACTTAGCACGGTGTCCTTAGGGTTAGTCAGGGTGAAGCACATGCCATAATTTCCTCCTTTGTCAGGCAGATTAAGATGGATGTCGTGATGCACTCCTTTAATCCCATAACCCAGGTGTCAGAGGCAGGATGACTGTTGAAAGTTTCAGGCTATCCTTATCTACAAAACAAGTTCCAGATCAGCCAGGAGCAAAGAGTAAGACCCTGCCTCAAAAGCAACAACAAATACAAACGCAGACAAAACTTAAGAAGAGAGGGAAGAAGGAGGAAGAGGAGGAGCTTAAAAAGAGTCCAGCAGCATGCCTTTAGTCTCAGCACTTGGGAAGTAGAGACAGGTGGATATCTGTGAGTTTGAAGCCAGCCTCTGTGAGTTCCAGGACAGCCAGGGCTGTTACACAGAGAAAACCCCGTCTCACAAAGCCCCCAAACAAGCAGGCAAGCAAGCAATCAGAAAAGAAAAGAAAACAGAAAAGAAAAGGAAAACAAGTGGCTAACTAATATTCTCCTGTTGTCTGGGCACAGCACATTTTACGTATCTGTTGATGGGCGTTTGGGTTGCTTCCTTGTTTAGCTAGTGTGAATAATACTACAGTGAATGTGGGTGTTTAACCATCTCCTTAAGCCACTCCTCTCAATTATTCGTTACAGATTTTTGTTATCCATTAAGAAAAATTAGTTGTGACTTGTAGGTGAAAACCCTTAGCTGTACTACATGAAGGAGGTAAAGAATGGGCATCACTAGCATTGAGTGTGAGCGTTTGCTGGGAATGGGCACTACCAGTTGCTCACAGGGGAAGAAGCTTCCTCAACAAATCATTGTGATTATACTGGTGACCCAATAGAAATTAAATTCCCACATTTTGCAGACCAGAAGTCCCGAATCAGGATCTTTAGGCCAATGTTAAGGTTTTACTGAGTCACGTACCACGTCCTCTACCCTGGCCCGCAAGGTCAGTCAACGGGGACCCTAGGGAAGGGAGTGAAAATGGAGGGACAAGAGACTCGAGAGACAGAGACAAGACAGTATTCTGATCAAGTCTCCTTTATTGAGTACCAACAATTTTTGAAAATCATCAAGGGTATGAAACTTCTCTAATCTCAAAGTAATTTTTTGAGATAAAATTTTATCTTCAAACATTTGAAAGCCTAAATAAGTATAGGGATCATTGAGTTGTACTTTTTCTGGTGCTATCTGCAATCCCCTTTTTGTTAGAGCATCACATAACTCTTTATAACAAAATAACACTTCTTCCCCTTTTTGTCCTGCTAAAAGGATATCATCCATATATGTATAATGTACATCTGTGGCCATGATAGCAGATGCTACAAAAGATTGGCAAAGTGTGGGACTATTAGCCATGCCTTGGAGGAGAACACACCACTGATACCGGCGCTTAGGTGCTTGAAATTTGGAGAAGGAAGGCTAATGACAAAGCGTTTTTGATCATCGGGATGTAAGGGTACAGTAAAAAAAGCAAATCTTTGAGTTTTGTGGGCAGTTTTTCGAAAAATGGCCTGACTCTGCAGCTAAAACATTTGTTTCTGCCTTGACTAGACAAGAACTGTCTAACAGTACTGCTTGCATAGCAGCTGCCATGGCGAGTCCTTGCTGATAAGCTGCACCTATCTCAGCACAGAGGCGAATGTAGCCAGAAAGGTCTGTTTTTTTTATGATATGGTCGAATAGCTACTTGGCATGCAGAATTAGCATTTCCAAAAGCCAATTGTTTAGCAAAGTCGGTGCCTGAAACAGCATTTCCAAAAATCCTACCTGCTGCTGTTAGCAAGCGGTGGACAAAGTCTGAAAAAGACTCATCAGGCCCTTGTTTGATCTTAGTAAGGGAAGAGCTCATGTCCCCTTTAGCAGGCTTTAGTGGCAGCTGTTTGAATTTGGGCAAATAGTTCAGGTTCATATTGCATTTGAACATCCTCTGCCTCATAATTTCCTTCACCCTTTAACATATCTGCATTCCAGTTATTGCCTGCTTGGGCATTTCTTTTTGCAGTTTCTTTACAAGCTTCTGCAAATTCTGACTTCCATAAAAGATAATCTCCCCCTGCCAAGGTTGCTCTAGTTAAAGTGCTCCAGTCGGATGGAGTAAGCCAATTGTTTGCCATAGATTCTATGATGGCAGTGGTATAAGGAGCTGTAGCCCCATATTGAGAGACTGCAGTTTTGACTTCTTTGATTACATTAAAATCAAAATCTGCATGATGTCGCCAGGCAGTGCCTTGTGCATCTGTTGTCTCAGTTACTGGAAAAGCAGTAATATTCTCTGACTCTGTCTGATGTTGGTGGCTGAGAGGTGTCTTAAGGGCAGCCCCCCTGAGAGGTGGCTTGGCAACACCTTTCTGAGAGGTGTTGGTAGACTTGCCTGTTTTCAGACTCTCTAGCTGGGTAATCAGGTCTTGATGTTCTGTTTCTAATCGAATCTGTTCTTTAAGATATTGAATTTTGTTCTGTAGCTCTTTTTGAGGGTTTAAAACTGGGCAAGCCAGAGAGGGGACTGTTGGAGGAGGCATATAAGGTGAAGGCTGATATTCTGCTAATACAGGGCAGTCTGGATCATGATATTTAGCTGCCTCTTCCTCCAAATCCTCCCGCTCTTAGTCACTAAGACTATCTTCTATAGGCTGTTGATTTTTGGATAATTTTTTAAGTGTTATGTCCCCTTTTTCATTTCTGATTTTGTTAATTAGCATGTTCTCTGTCTTTTGGTTGGGTTGGATAAAGGTTTGTTTATCTTGTTGATTTTCTCAAAGAACTAACTCTTTGCTTCATTGATTCTTTGTATTGTTTTCCTTGTTTCTACTTTGTTGATTTCAGCTCTCAATTTGATTATTTCCTGATGTCTACTCCTCCCAGGTGACTTTTCTTCTTTTTATTCTAGAGCTTTCAGGTGTTCTGTTAATTTTCTTTTCTTTTCTTTCTTTTTTTTTTTTTTGGTTTTTACAAGACAGGGTTTCTCTGTATTGTTTTGGAGGCTATCGGTCCAACCCGGCTTCGAACTCACAGAGATCCGCCTGCCTCTGCCTCCCGAGTGCTGGGATTAAAGGCGTGTGCCACCACCGCCCGGCTCTGTTAATTTTCTTGTGTGGCTATTTTCCAGTTTCTTCATGTGGGCACTTAGTGCTATGAATTTTCCTTTTAGAACTGCTTTCAAAGTATCCCAAAGGTTTCTGTATGTAGTGCCTTCATTTTCATTGAATTATAGGAAGTCTTTGATTTCTTTCTTTATTTCTTCCTTTATCCAGGGGTAATACAATTGAGCATTCATTGTTCAATTTCCATGAATTTGTGAAGTTTCTGCAATTTGTGTTGACATTGAATTCTATTTTTAAGCCATGGTGGTCCGACAAGATACAGGGGGTTATTCCAATTTTTTTGGTACCTGTTGAGGTTTGCTTTATTGCCAAGTATGTGGTCAATTTTAGAGAAGGTTCCATGTGGTGCTGAAAAGAAGGTATATTCTTTTTTGTTTTGGTGGAATGTTCTATAGATGTGTGTTAAACTCAATTGGGTCATAACTTCTGTTAGTTTCATTGTTTCTTTGTTAAGTTTCTGTCTGGTGGACCTGTTCAGTGGTGAGAGTGGAGTGTTGAAGTCTCCCACTATAAGTGTGTGGGGTTTAATGTGTGATTTGAGTTCTAGCAATATTTATATTTGGGGCATATATGTTCAGAATTGAGACTTCATCCTGATGGATTTTTCCTGTGATGAATATGAAATGACCTTCTTCATCTCTTTTGATTAATTTTAGTTTGAAGTCTATTTTGTTAGATATTAGGATAGCTACACCTGCTTGCTTTTTACATCCATTTGATTGGAAAATCTTTTCCCAACCCTTAACCTTGAGGTAACGTCTGTCTTTGAAATTGAGGTGTATTTCTTGTATGCAGCAGAAGGATGCATTCTGTCTTTGTATTTGTTCTGTTAGCCTGTGTCTTTTTATAGGTGAGTTAACACCATTGATATTCAGGAATATTAATGACCATCCATTGTTGAGTCTTGCTTGCATTGTATCCATTTTTGGCAGTGGTCTTCTGTGTGAGTTTTTCCCCTATTTCTGACTTCTGGTAAAGTAAGTTATCTATTGCCCATGTTATTTTGAGTGTAGTTAACTTCCTTGGGTTGGAGTTTTCCTTCTAGAACTTTCTGTAGGCCTGGATGTGTGGATAAATCTGGTTTTGTCATGGAATATCTTGTTTTCTCCATCTATAGTTATTGAGAGTTTTGCTGGGAATAGTAGTCTGGACTGGAATCTATGGTCTCTTAGTGTTTGTAGAACATCTATCCAGGACCTTCTGGCTTTCATAGTTTCCATGGAGAAGGCAGGTATAATTCTGATAGGTTTGTCTTTATATGTTACTTGGCCTTTTTCGTTTGCTGATTTTAATGTTCTTTTTTTTTGTTTGTTTGTTTTTTGAGACAGGGTTTCTCTGTGGCTTTTCTTGCATTTTTTGTTTTGTGTTTTCTTCCTTTTTTTCCATTTTTTTTTCTGAGACAGGGTTTCTCTGTGGCTTGGGAGGCTGTCCAGGAACTAGCTCTTGTAGACCAGGCTGGTCTCAAACTCACAGAGATCCACCTTCCTCTGCCTCTGGAGTGCTGGGATTAAAGGCGTGTGCCACCACCACCTGCTTCTTCTATTTCTTTAGGGGATTTTCTCATATCCTCTTTGAGGGCCTTTACCACTTTCATGAGGTTGTTTTGAAGGTCATTCTTTTCTGTTTCATCTGTGTTGGTATGTTCAGGTCTTGCTGGTGTAGAATTTCTAGACTCTTTTGGTGTCATACTGGTTCTTCTGTTGTTGGTTGTGTTTTTATATTGCCATCTTCCCATCCCTTCTTTCAGTGGGAGCTCATGGGGTCTCTTCCTCTCCTGGTGGGTTTGGGTCTAAAGATCTCTTCCAGTGCGTTTAAGCAGTTCCAATTCTCCGATGGGTCTTACGATGGGTGCAGGTGGGTCTGAGACACTTTCAAGCAGAGGGAGGAGACCAGAGGGGACTGAAGACTCAAGCTCAGGAAGGGCGCTGGAGGGGGCTAAAGATTCTAGCACAGGGCAGGGGCTGGAGGGCGCTGAAGACTCAGGTGTGACAAGACACAGGGTGGTCCTTTCTGGCAGGACAGGTCCACTGTAGGAGTAGAGCATGCCCAGGGAGATGGAAGCAGGGGGATGCTGGGAGTTGGGTCTCAGAGCAGGGCCCCCAGTCACTTCAAGCACAGGGCAGGGACCAGAGGGCACTCATATCTCTTTTTCTTCTTCTTCTTATTTTTTTCCCAAGACAGGGTTTCTCTATTGTTTTGGAGGCTATCCTGGAACTTGCTCTGTAGACTAGGCTGGCCTCGAACTCACAGAGATCCGCTTGCCTCTGCCTTCCGAGTGCTGGGATTAAAGGCATGCGCCACCAATGCCCAGCTTTTTTCTTATTTGTTATCTATCTCTTTCTGTGCACAAGAAATCTGAATTCAGAATTTGGCATTTGAAAGAAAAAATCAAAATCAAAATCAACCACAGCACCTAAACTACATGCCTGGAATTAACCAAACAACAACAAAAAACAAAACAAACTAAAAAGAAAAGAACAAGAAACAGCAGCAAGACCCAACCGAAACAAATGAACAACAGCAACAATGAAATCTCAAGAACACTGAGGGCTTCAGACATACGCAGTTCTGCTTGCAGGCCCCATCTCTACCCTTGAGTTACAAAAACAAACAAACAAAAACAAACCAAAAAACCTGAAGAAAAGCCAGATGTAGTTGTGCACACCTTTAATCACAGCACTTGAGAGTCAGAGGCAGGCAGAGCTCTTTGAATTTGAGGCTAGCCTGGGCTACATAGAGGGTTCCAGGACAGCCAGAGCTATATAGTAAAACCCTGTGTCAAACAAAACAAAGCAAAGCAAATAACTAAAACACAAACAAATGAAACCAAAAGACCCAGCCAAACAACAACAAAAAGAAAAGCAGAGGATAAGTGATTTGCCAAAGACGGTCTCACGCCCTTTTCACTATTCCTTTGTCTTTTTAATTGTCTTGGTGCTGGGCACTAATTCTAGCACATGCCCAGCACGGGTTGTACCACTTAGCGACACACCTAGCCCTCATCTGCCGTTTGCATTCATTTCTGATGATGATGATGTTTTTGAGATAAGGTCTGTGTAGATTTGGGTGTTCTGGCACTCACTGTGTAGACCAGGCTAGCCTGGAACTCACAGAGATTCACCTGCCTCTGTTAGGATTAATGAGCAAAGTTTGCCTGATTCTGGAATTGAGGACAAAGTCAGTTAAAGTTCTCTGAACTAAATTTTTGTCCCTTGCCAATATTTTTTTCCCCGCTACATTTTTACTTTTCACTACATTTTTACTTACTTTACAATAAGATATTTGTTTATATGTTAAAAAAACCAACTAAACAAACGAAGGAATATTCTTAGCTTGTAATATGGAAAATTTTGGAGTGCATTTAACTTAGACAGAGTCTTTCTCCACTCTTTGGTAAACTTTGTTTGAGGACTAAGGTTCCAGAAAACTCGATGGCCCTTGCAGCTGAGAGCCAGTGGCTTCCTGGTGATTGTCTCTGGAATCAAGGAATGAAATTCAGGTGCTCAGAGGCAGAGTTTAAATGAGACGTTTATCATAGATTCTCAGGTTGGAGCTAAAGACAGAGAGCAGAAGGAGGTCCTTGGGATGGGATGCCATCATGCTGCCCGTCTGGGGCTTTATTAAGGACTTGTGGCAGAAACTGTGGTGCCTTCTCTCAGTTCTAGTCCCACCTTAGGTATGGCTTCCAGGCAAGGGTAAGAGGTGATAAGAAGCCGGGAACTAGAACTTTCTTCTGTCATTCCAGGAAGGACATTCTTGTAATGTGTTGCTTTGGGGTTCCTGACTTACTTGAGTAATTTCTATTTTCTCTTTCAGGACATATCGTAAATTATCTCTTATGTATGAATTTATAAACAAACATTCATATATTTGCCTAATATTTTTATTTATTATTTTGTATGCAGGTGTTAGTGTTTGTGTATATGCTCCACGGTGCCCCCGTTTGGGTCTTCCGATTGAACTCAGGTCAGTAGGTTTTGTGGCAGATACCTTTACCAGCTGAGCCATTTTGCTGGCCTGTTTTCATTTTCTCTACAAAAGCACTGACACATGTTGCCCAATAAGCAAATGTGTCTTTGAGGTTGTGACCAGATTTAGGGTCACAGGCTCTGCCTCTTCCAAAGTCACATTTGCTTATTCACTCTCAACATATCAATTAGAAGAGTCAAATTAACAGCGAACAGCAGAAAGATTTACTTGATGTGGCAATGTTGGGAAGAGGAGGAGATACCCAGGGATCTCTCCAAGTGCATCTTTGGGGTCTTAGCAAGAGGGTTTTATAAATAGTTCAGGGTTGCAAAGAAACAGACCACCATTTCAACTAAATTTTATGGACAAGACAAGCTTTTCTCTTGATCAAGAGAATGAGTTTGATCTTCAGATTGGCTGGGGTCTGAACTCACAATTGTATTCAATTGACTAGTCTGAAAAAAATTGGCATACAGGAAATGAAGGAGTAAGGGAAAGGGGCTCACTGCTCCAAGGAGAAAAAGTCACTTCTTCAGGCAGTGGGTTTTGTGTAAACAAAGGTTTTGCTAGGTGGGGAGGATTAAAATATCTGCATAAAAGTCTTACTAGGTGAGAGAAACAAAAAGATTTTATCACTGTCCTAAATAACATTTTATAGCATTTGATAAAAATAAACCCCTCATATTTGTTATTTCTTGCAAAGGGAAAGTTTAAATCGAAGTCAAGAGATATACATAACTAAGCAGCTTGGGCTAAGGTGTGGACCCATTTGCTACTGTCTGGTTTTCATTCTGTCCTGCAAGACTACAAGGACAACTTGCAAATCTTTCCTAGAGACAAGTTCCTCCTCTGGCTGTCCCCACCTCTTCTTTTCTTTGGAGAAGTTTCCTGTGAGAACTCTGTAATTTCTTGGGGTCCTTTGTCTCAGTAGTCAAAGGAAGGGATGGAAGGCAAGCTAAGAGTTGTAAAAGAGTCCTGAAAGTAGATTAGGAAACTCAGATTTAGAGTCTTGTGAGTGACTCCGGTAAGTAACTTCCAGTGTCTTAGATTTCAGGCTCCACTGGACATTTTAAATAAACTTGGCCTCTTCTGTAGCAACTGATAGTAGTTGAAGAAGAAGCAGGCTGCAGAGGTGAACAGATGGGGGCGGGTGATAAGAGGAATACAGTTGTGAACTTGGAGGGAAGCCTTAGACCTCTGGAGGGTGTCTTTGGAAAAGGCTAGCCTCCTCATTCAGTTCACGCAACAACTTCCATAGAGTGCTTTGTTATGTAAGAGAGTTATTGAGTGCGGTAAGTTATTGAAAGTATTACAATAGACTTTTAGCATGCAAAGTGAACATGGCAGGTCTAATTACAGCTGAGGACAGCTAAGTCACTGTCCAGTCTCTCTGGCTGGAATGAAACATCTAAGGGGACATTTGTGCTCTACTATTTGGCGATCAGACTATTGAAATTAGAATCTCTCCAGGAAACAGTTGAAGCTCTGGTGGTCTCCAGGAATTTGTCTTCTAGAGAAAGATTAAGAGTTTTCCAGATGACCTTTCGAGAGACAGACCTGGAGCTGAGACAGTGGTGGGTCCTGAACCACATCTTGACCCAACCGCCTTCTATTCGAACCCTATCCTTTGTCACACAGGGAGGACAGACTGTGTGTGTGTGTGTGTGTGTGTGTGTGTGTGTGTGTGTGTGTGTGTGTCCAGACGTCTTTGTTCCTCTTCCCTATATAGTCAACTACATTAAGTAAATTTCTTCTTTCCTTTTGCTTTATTAGTTTGACTTTTAAAGTTGGCTTCTTGAGGATGGATGGCCGAAAGTGGCTTGTTGGGGCATGGATCGGACCCCAACACTGTGGCTTTGAATTGAAACTCAAATGACTTAGTTGAAACATTTTAATGCTCTAAGATGCTTTCGCTTGGGAAACAAGATCTGGATTCTCTGTACTTAAAGCCTCTCTTTAATCTCCTGGGGGCGTGGCTGCAGTGGGGGTGGGGGTGGGACTGGGGTGGAATGTGGGGGTGGAGCGTTTGCTAATTGTTACTAGTTTAGAGATGGGTGTTCTTTCCCCTCTCTTCTCTGTTCAAATGGATTTAGAGAATTTACTGGTGTTGAGCAACTGGTAACCACAGGTCAAAGCATGCCTCATAATCCTTTTCCCCAGTCTGCACAGGTTAGTCAAGTTGGAACGTGGCGTGGTTAACATTTTCAAATACAGTTCGTTTCCTTAGCCCTGAACATTTTCTTTTGCAAAATAATAATAAGGCTAAAGACTTAAGAGGAAATGGAAGAAAAAATTCCCATGCATTTCAGGTAACATTTTTCAGAGTAAAAGAGTTTTGTCACACAGGGCGGCAGTGGTAAATGCATTTAATTCCAGCACTTGGGAGGCAGAAGCAGGCGGATCTCTGTGAGTTTGAGGTCATCCTGGTCTACAAAAGGGAGTTCCAGGACAGGTTCCAATGCTACATAGAGAAACCCTGTTTCGACACCCCCCCCCCAAAAGGGTTCTATCATATCTTATAATTCGTGCACTTTGATTCCTTTACAACTTTTTGGAGGTGACTGAAAAACTTTTTGTGGAGTGCTGCTAGAGTGAAGGGGGTGGGGTGGGGTGGGGACGCTGAAGCCGGGCGTGGTGCACACCTTTAATTCCAGAGGCTGACGGATTTCTGAGAGTTCGAGGTCAGCCTTGTCTAGAGAGATTTCCAGGCTGGCTAGAGCAGTTACACAGAGAAACTCTAGAAACCCTGGCTGGAACATAGCAAACCCGAGCAGGGCTCTGTAAATATTCACGGTAAATTTGAAGTCCATATTCAAAACACACAAACACATACACACAATTAGCATGTCTCTGGTATCGCATAGTTCAATACTCAAACGCTTCAAAATGAAATTCTAGTGGAACCGGGTATCCTATTTTTTTTTTCTGAATTTTGCTGCCTCGCTTGTCTTTTATGTTATAGACAACAGATTGTATTCAAAGACATTTGTAGACAAAAACAAAAAAGGTGAAATTTCCTCAGTGCAACAATTACTGTACTAGTGAGTAAAACCCTAAAGACTTTCTCTCTCTCTCTCTCTCTCTCTCTCTCTCTCTCTCTCTCTCTCTCTCTCTCTCTCTCTCTCTCTCTCTCTCTCTCTCTCTCTCTCTCTCTCTCTCTCTCTGTCTCTCTCTCTCTCTCTCTCTCTCTCTCTCTCTCTCTCTCTCTCTCTCTCTCTCTCTCTCTCTCTCCCCCTTCCTCTCTCCTCCCCTCCCCCTCCCCCCCCTCTCTTTTGGAGACAGAACCCCTTTAGCTTCAGATACGTAGTTCTAAAAGCTGTCCTGTGCTTGGAAATCAGGTTGTGCAGCTTGGCAATCGGGCTGCCAGCCTTCCCGGTGTGTTACTCAGTAAACTGGCTCCGCCCAGCTGCTGCTCGGCGGTACCGGCTGGAGCCAAAGCGGAAGTCGATCAGGCTGCTTCTGCTCGAGGTAAGAGCCCCGCTCTGTTTAGTTTTCTGTGTCAAGACTCTTGGCAAAGCGTATAAAAATTGAAGCGAGCTGAGCGACAGCGGCGAGTGTCGGCACCTGCGCCGGCAGGGGCAGTCAGGAGGCGGGATGGGCGCTGCGCTCGCCTGCAGAGTTTTCTTGATCTCCCTAACCATTTAAGATCGCCTGCCTCGTGACCCGTCCTAATCGCAAGAAAGGGGTAGTTGCTTGGGCAGCCAAGTATGAGGGCCTGCAAAGTACCGACTTTATTTGTGCACCGTAAGAAAAATTGAACAACTGGCAACTTGGTTTTTACATTTAAACCTAATGTCATTCATTGCCCATGTGAAGGTTACTTGCCCTCTCTCTCCCTCTTCCCCTCCCCCTCTCTCTTTAAGTCCCTGCAGCCTCTTTTTTTTTTTTCTTTCCATTTTTGTTATGATGCTTAAGGTCAAAGGGAAATTTTCAACTAGTAAATGTGGCATCTGGAATGTTTCTTAACACAGCTAAACTTTACACTTTCCGTTTAGCTACAGTCTTCCTTTCCTGAATTCATAGAAGAAAAAAAAAAGGTAAAGTGAATCTATTATACTTTGCTAATTCAGAGGTGGGATTTATCTGTTGGCTTCTTGGTTACAGAGCTAGAATTTTTAGAGGTCGGTTTTCAGCAACCTTTTGGTAGTCGCTTAGTTTAGTCGGCAAATGTATCCTTTTTGCTCCACGTTTAGTATCACACCTCATTGTTCATGGAACATCAGACTCTATTGAAATTCAGTTTACAAAAGCACTGAGGCATGTCTTTCGTTGCCAATTGCGGCAGAAAAATGTGTTACAAGTTCTATGGTAATATTTCTAAGAGAAGAGTACTTCCATCAGGTCTTCTTGTAGTGATTTATTTTAATTTATTTTATGTGCATTGATGTTTTGCCTGCAAGTATGTATTCTTGAAGTTATCAGATCCCCTGGAGCTGGAGTTACAGACAGTTGTGAGTTGCCATGGGAATACTGGGAATTGAACCTGGGTTCTTTGGAAGAGCAGCTGGTGGTCTTAACTTCTGAACCATTTCTCTAGCCCAATTAGAGGAGATTCTAAGAAAACAAGACTATTTTAGATGGAGACCTGACTTATGGTGTCACTAAGTAAGTGGCCCTGGCTGGCCTGGAACTTTCTGTAGACCAGACTGGCTGAAAACTCACAGAGATCCATTTGCCTCTGTCTTCTGAATGCTGTCACTCAAGTGTGTGCCACCATGCCTGGTTAGATGTTTTACTTAACTCTTATTAAAGTCTTTGTATTACTGGTGCTGTCTCTAAGAATAAGAAGACTAAAAGAGAATGAGAATACACACTTTGCTCTGGGTCACAACAGTGTCCCTGCTAGATGACATTGGGTAAGTGGGTTGGCCAGTTCAGGGCAGGGGAGATGGTTCAGAGAACTGATGACCAGAGTTCAACCCCCCAGGATCCACATGCTGGAAGGAGAAAACAGACCTCCTGGTGTCCTCTGACCTCTGCCTGCATGGCATAGCATA